CCCCAAAACCCCAAAACCCCAAAACCCCGTTTAAATCAAATTATCTTGATTTAGTAGCTAAATTAATGAAATTAGTTTTCAATAAAAAGCTTACATATTGTTTAAATTTAATAAAAATCTAGCACGATGTAATAAAACACAAAATATTATGTGATTTACTTCAGGTTGTAGACCATTAGGTAACCGTGTTTCAATAGTAAGCTCATTCAAAAGCTTGTAAAAAGCCGGTCAATTGCTTTGATTTTAATGGATAACATTTTTTCAAATCATTAAGAAGGGCATCTCCACTGTAATAGTCATTCTAATTAGGTGTAAAATTAGTGTTTTTGCATTCAGCTTCAACATCTGAGAATGCTATCTGATTTAACCTAGATTTCACTTAAGCAATAAAGTCCATTAACTATATTTTATCAGAAGATTATGTTGGGAACCTGATACTTTCCTCTTACTTAGTTTGAGCATTATAATAATACATTCTTATGTTCAGTTTTCCATCAACTTTCACAAATTCAAAGAACAATGCTGAACCAGGGAATGATCTTACCGTTCTGTGAATGCCAAGTCCATCAAAGAAAGCAGCTATAGTCTCAGCATGTGCTGCATAATGAATCATTTTAGGTAGCTTATCTAGAGATTTAATACCTCTAGCTTTTCTTTACTAATCAGAATTTAATGCATTGGAAATATAAACAAGTTTATTTAAGAACTCAAATGATCCTAATTTCCATAGTTCATCAAGTCCATAGCTGACTGAATATAGCTTTGAATCTCCTAAAGCTAGGCAATAATTATCATCTTCTGGTTTAGGTTTGAATGTGAGAGATAGATTTGCTAGTTCTGCCCATTATAGATAACCACAAATGTCAACCATTTCTTTAACAGTGCTGATAGTGGTATTTGTAAGTTATTAGAGTTGATCTTTATAGTTATCAGTAAAATATTTTTAGACATTTTTGTATTGGTCAGAGCTAGAGGTTAGTGACGCAACAGCCCCATACCTTGGACAATTATCCTTATCGACATGCAACAAGAAATCTTAATCAGCATCAACTTGCATCACATTAAATGTGTTAGTCTTTGGCTTAATTGATCCAGTTCTTTGAATAGGTGAGAGGTAGTCTTCTTTACCAATGTCATAGTTAATATAATCGCTAAGGGAAGGTTAGTTATCAGGATACATTCCCATAAGTTGATACAATGAACTCAAATAAGTTCTTTGCTTAAATGTTGTTTGAACAAACATCTCATTGTTCGAATAGTTTTCAGACAGCAAAGGATAATTTACAATGTATTTTTACTTAATTAGCTAGCCAAGTTCAAAGTGCTGTTTTTTCCCCAGAGGCATGATGTTGCCTGTGCTGTTAAAGTTTAAGGCTGGATCTACTGTGAAATTGAAGATCTTGCTTGACTCTCTAGCTCCATGTCTTGAAATTTCAACTACCATTAGTATTTCTTCTGTTGCTGCAATAGATGAGCCAAGTAAAAGAGACAATGTTGCAAGGGTAATCAGTGATTTAAACATTTTTTTAGCAGAAATTATACTCGAGGATTTTCTCATAATGATTATAAACTTAAAGTATTATCTAATATAAGATTTCTTATTAAAAGATTATTGAAACTCTGATTCACAGCTATGCTAAAAATGATTGGGGTTTTGGGGTTTTGGGG